GCTTCCGTTTCTGCGGGTTCCCCCACCTCTTTAACACTTCTCCTCTTTCTCTAGCTTGTCTTAATGTTTGATGTTCCTCAGACTTCTGACTTGGGCCTTCTTTTCACATAATCTCTTCTTTTCACATAATCTCCTGAGTGGTCTCACTGGCTTCCATGGCTTGAATTCATGCCCTATGTGATTTATGGGTTGTTGGTTTTTTGTGTTTTTTTTTTTTCTTTTTTTTTCTTTCTGATTTCTGTGGTATAAATATTCCCACCGTGGCTGATTTCAAACTGCCAACGGTTTAACAACTTGTTCTCAAAATATAACAACTGGCTCTCACAGCTGATAGGAGCCGGTACAAGCTGGCTCCCACACACCTCCGATTTGGTGTCAGAGATAGACAGCTTATTTTTACACGGAAGATAAAATAAAAATACCTGCAGACTTTGCTTTCCCCTCACAAACTGCTCCGGAAGTGAAATATCTGCAGCTGCTTTGACGTGGGGCTTTTTGGTTTATTTCCATATCACTGTGGTGGTGGTAAATCCCCCCCAACCACCACCTTTTTTTTCCCCCTCCCCCGTATATGATAGAAATAGTATACCTTTGATCAGTTTTATTTTTATGACATGTTTTGCAGCTGTTTAAAATCTGGTTTTTGTCAGAGGGCATCAATATTGTATTCTCAAAACAAGAAAATATTCCCTGGCAAAGGAGACAAATAAAACGATCTTTACTACCAATACTTTTGAAACACGTGATTTCCTTTACTTGACAGGAGCCATAGCATTGGGTTTTAATTGCGTTCAGAAAACAATCTTTGTCTGGCCCCACTTGCCCTTTTGTCAGGGTGGACTCACTTGTTCATTCACTTAACAAATATTTATTGAGCACTAGCTGTGTGCCAGGCACTTGTCTAGGTGCTGAGGAGATTCTGATGAGCCAGACAGATGAGAGCTTACATGGCATGGAGGGGAGATAGATAGTAAACCAAGCAAATAATAAGGAAGCTAATTTCAGAGAATGGTGAAGGATTTGAAGAAAATCAAAGCAAGGTAATATGATTGAGAGTGACCTGAGGTGGTATAGTCACTATCTCTGGGAGGTAGGCTCTGGGACTCAGGCATCTGACCCAGGCTATGCGCAGATATATATCTTGAGGTATCTTGAGCTCCTTCTACATGGTGCTAGTTTTCCTTCTGTTTCTCAGAGAGCACCAGTCTCTGGTACCAGCTACACAAATCTAAATGAGCTTCCTCTATCATCAAACGCAGTTAAAATGCCAAGCGCTGGAATCAGTGCCTGACCAAAGGCAGGGGGACAGAGCCAGCCTGAAATGACTCTGAGGAAGATCCTTGTATTAGTTGTGGGGCCGTGTATCTGCACCTGTGGGCTGGGGGTTACCAGTCACTGACGTTTAGACCGAGGACTCTCCATTCTGCATCTCACCTTGATGTGTCCCTCAGCTTGTCCATTACACATGGCCAAGGGCCAGATGGAAATATGTTTTTTGGTGTTGCTTTAACATTTCCAATTCTACAAAACCGAGCCTCTCCCCCTGCCCTCATCCCCATCTCCAGTCTATCACCTATTCTTCATCTCAGCAAATATTACCATCTTCCAAGATGCTTCCCAGGGGGTAATCCTTGCCTCTTTTGTAATATCCAATTAAACATGAAATCCAGTATTTCTGCCTCCACAGGTGTCTTGAATTTACCCACCTCTCTCCATCCCCAGGGCTGTTACCCTATCTCAGCCTATCACTTCCTGTTTATGTTAATGTGACCACAGTCTTGGTCCTTCTCTTCAGTTATTTACACTGCAGCCTGAGATTCTTTTCTAAAATAGAGGTCTGGTGAGGCCTTTTCACTGCTCTAAATCCTTCCATAGCTCTAAATTGCCCTCATATAAAGCTGGATTCCAGGCCATGGTGGCTCACAGTCCCTCCATGGTGCGGCCCTTTTAGCGTCTATAGTCCATCCTCTCCCTGCCCCCAGTCTGTAGGCTCTAATAACCACATCTGTTACTCTTCATTTGTGCCATATTCTCTCCTACCTCTGCCTTTGCGGACATTTCCCTCCACCTAGAACGCTTCCTTCAATCCCACCTCAGTATCTTTGACCTGGATAAGATTTAATCCTTTTGAATGTCAAACAGTGAAGCTATTTCCCCCAAAAACCTCTAACCACACCCTACCCCCAGCCCAGAGTTTGGGTTAGGATACCCATTGTGTGTTCTCATAGCCCTGTTTTGGAATTGCCTATATACCTGTTTAAATACATATGTATGCACTTGGGGCACCTGGGTGGCTCCGTCGGTTAAGTGTCCAACTCTTGATTTCAGCTCAGGTCATGATTTCAGGGTCATGGGATCAAACACACCCCTCCCTCCCCAATCCAGGCCCTGTGCCGAGCAGAGAGTCTGCTTGGGATTCTCTCTCCTTCTGCCCCTCCCCTGCTTATGCAAGCTGTCTTTCTCTCCCTGAAATAAATACATAATAAATCCTTAAATATATATGTATATATATATATGCAAGATTGTAAATTATATGAGAACAGCAGCTCTGCCTGTCTTGTTTCCTATTGTATCCCCTGCAACTAGCATAATGCCTGGCAAAGTGGGCCTGCCATGAATATTTATTGATTAACGGATGGCTATGTCTCCCTTCCTAAATTTTGGTTTCTTCGCTTATCCTTAAAAAATAAAACCACCTTGTATAAACTAAAATGTCATACGCTTATTATGGAACACTTATAAAATACAGAAGAGAGTCTACCATCCATTTCAGTACATAGTAATGACCCCTGTTATCGCCTTGTATATATGTTATTTTCATTGTTGAAATCACACTATGTCTGCAGCTTCTCTTAATTGTGGTAAAAGATACCAAACATAAAACTTACCATGTAACCGTTTTAAGTGTGTAGTTCAGTGGCATTAAGTATACTCCCACTGCAACCATCACCACTACCCATCTTGGAACTTTCTTATCTTCCCAAAAGGAAACTCTGTGCCCATCAAACAAAAGCGCTCTCTTGCCCTCCCTACTGCTTTTTTTTGTTCGGGTTTGTAGCAAAGTGGAAATGGCTTTCTTCTGAATCCTTACTTAGTCCAAGTTATCATCTCCCTTTATTTTCAAGTGGTTGTGAGGATTTCGCAGCACAGGCCGTCCTTCCTGGCGTTCTGTGGTGCTGCCCGGTGTTTCAGTTAATGCTGAATTCCAGGCCGATAACATTTCTGAAGCCTCACTTTGTGCTGTGTTTCCGCACTTAGGGGTCCATGAAAATCTTCTAACTTCTTGTAAGATCCAAAGAAAATGAACTTTTAGGTCAAAGAAAATGTTTTAATATATAATATTCACGTTTGTCTTTATAGAAATATCATCCTGAAATATAAATTTAAATATATAGATATATTTTTTTTAATGGAGGAAGAGGATCATGAAGGCAAAAATGCCTAGGTAGTACAGTAAAAAGCTCTCAAGTTACAAACAAACAAAAGAATGGTGAGGAGGAATTGCTGGAGTTTTTAAGGCAGGAGACTTATCCTTTGGTCTATTTCCATCTTTTAAGTTCTCTTTCCTAAGCATAAATAAAGTCATCTTTAGAACATTTTACATAGCAGTATATATAGTTCAGCAGTATCCTAAAATTTTAGATTTAAAAATTTTAAATTTTAGGTCAGGTCTCTAATTCCTCAGATGTTAAGACATATTGCCAATTAGTCCTCCTGGAATGATTTTCCAATTTGAAAGAACCCACATGGAAGCTAATTAATTGGACCATTCCAAAGAACTATACGGCATTGGTTTTACGCGTTTTAAGAGAGTTCAGAGAATAGTGTGGCCAGGATCCCATGTATGAGACTTCAGAAAAGTATGGCAGGCGTCCCCGTTACCTGTGTCTTCTGGTATCTTCATTTTGTTCATTTAAATATTCATGACATCTTCATCTTTCTGAGGGAAGGGATTGTAAAGCATTCTGATTCCATTCTGGAGCATTTGGTGCCATTCTGAGCACATAATAGGCACCTACCAGCAGTATTTTTGACTTGATGAGATTTGCATTTAGAATTGCTCAAATTAGAGTTGTTGATGATAGGAATTAGAATCTTATATAATTCTAATTCATTTGACTTAAATTTAGAAGGATGGTTTTCCTTGAAAGCCAGAGTTAGGGAGAAGAGGAAGAATCCTAACTCATTTATGAACTTATCTGCGGACCTAAACTTTTTTTTTTACATTTTTAAAAAGACTTATTTTATAATTTTTTTAGATTATTTATTTATTTGAGAGAGAGGGAGAGAGCACGAGGAGGGAGGAGAGGGAGAAGCAGACTCCCTGCTGAACAAGGAGCCCGGACGATGCAGGGCTCCATCCTAGGACCCTGGGATCATGACCTGAGCCAAAGGCAGACGTTTAACTGACTGAGCCACCCAGGCGCCCCCAGATTTATTTATTTTAGAGACAACATGAGCGCAAGTGCGGGGGGCAGAGGGAGAGAATCCCAAGCAGCAGACTACCCGATGAGCGTGGAGCCTGACGTGGGGCCATCCCAAGACCCCGAGATCATGACCCAAGTCAAAATCAAGAGTCCGAAGCTTAACCTACTGAGCCACCAAGGGGCCCTGAGAACATACATTTTTGAAGACAATCTATTTTTCCAAGAAACACGGAGTCATCTTTCCTATAGTGCCCACTCTCTTAACCTCTTTTCCTCCATCAGTCATAAAAGGTTATGAGTCTTTTGAAAGTACTGAACACTATCCTACTTGTCAAATTAAAATATAAGTTCTTGCCAGAGTCAGAGCTCCAAGTTGCCTGCAGGCGCCTAGATATGCAACCTTGCACTTAGAAAGATTCCGACTGAGAAGACTTCCCCGTTATAGCAATAGGACTTCTCCCTCCAAGCCCCGTACAGCTACATATTAAGAAATAGGTCCACCTCAAGAGTAAACATGTTAGACTGGAGTGTCCTGGAAAACATACTTTTAATTTCTTGCTTGTCTTCTAACAGTTCTCCAAAGCTTCGCACTTTGGCTAGAGGTTTGTCTCCGGCATACCTGCGATTTGGTGGCACCAAGACGGACTTTCTCATTTTCGATCCCCAAAAAGAACCGACCTTTGAAGAGAGGAGTTACTGGCAGTCTCAAGTCAACCAGGGTGAACTTTTTAAAGATTCACAATATGTTTTAATTCATTTGAGTCAGTCTTGAGCATTCTCAGAGAAGTGTTCTGGCTGCCATCTAACAGTAAGAAATCGAGGGCTTCCGACTGCCTGATGGAGGCATTCTCACAAAAGGAGGAAGTAGGGGGCAGGTTTCCTCCTCCTGATGTTTTCAGGAATGTGAGACCTCACACAAAAAATTGTGCTGGGCATAACTGAGAGTTAATTGTGCTGTAAATAGAACAATGATTGTAGCTGAAGGACACAGCTGCTTAGTGGGAGCGTGTGGGCAGAAATGTGTCAAACTGAAAAGAGTATTTACAGCCGAAGATACAAGCAATGGATTGCAACCCATTTATTCTGAAAATAGAATGTGAATGGAAGGTGTAACAAAAGGGTGTGGAGATACGCTCTGCTTCTTAGACTGGATTTTAAGATTTGATTTATTGGGCAGTGACTGTCAAACTTTATTGACTACCCGTAGTCACCTGGGGTGAGTTTGAATATTTGGATTCTGTGTTCCAACCTTAGCTTACAAGTTTAGCAAGCTCCTCAGGTGATTCTGATATTTGGAAGTCTGTTGGCTCCCCCTGAGAAACCTGCCTTAGGGAGCAACGAGGATTTGCCCTATGTCTTCCATAAGTACTATACAGACATCAAATGGAAGTTAAATCATTATTGTAACAATTATGAAAAATATAGTGTATATATAGTTGAATTATAATAATGTGTGCATCATGAATATATTAGTGAAAAATATTTCATTATTTCATATATTACATATTTTCCTTCTATTTTCTTCAGGTAGGAAGTGTCCAGAACAGTTAATCAGTAATTGGGCCAAAACTGATAGAAGAGTAATTAGAAAATAATGAAAAAAAGCAGGAGAATTCTCTTAAAGTGACATATTGGAATCATTTATGTTTAGACTTGACCATTCCCATCAGTCATGTGTGTTTGAAAGGTCTCTTAAGTTCAGACCGGGAACTCTGCTTTGCTCATCAGTTTTCCTCATCCTGTGTGTATATGTGGTGGGGGATGGGAGATGTCAAGTGCCTCTGAAACATCCTTTTTGAGCACAGCGATGGATGAGGCACTGGCTGCCAGAAAGCCAGAATGTGTAGCTTCCCAGAAAGGAAGTTGTTGGCAGGTCAGCACACCCTGGCAGCCAGCGCCCAACAACTCTGCTGCCCTTGTGATAATGAAGTCTGGTCTGCCCGACAGCATAGTGGTTGACTTTTCCAATTGCCCATGTTGTGGTCTCAGAAGCTTTGAGGATATCATATTTGAAGGAAAAAAAAAAGTCAACATTTCCTGTCCCACCATTATGGCAAGAGGAAATCAACCCAAAGCAGATAAGAGTCCAGCAAAACAAATTTCTGTGTATTTTGAAAGTGAATCTTAAGAGAATTGAACTGTTTTCTTCAGTGGGGTTCTCTAGCAATTTTAAGTTTCTGAGAAGCCTTCTGAATTGTTAAATAACCTGAAGTCATGTCCAGTGTATCTGTATCCAGGGTATGTCCAGTGTTTCTTAGGAAACCTGCCCTTTGGTGGTTTTTTCTGTGGTGATTGGTTAGCCAGCAAATTTGACGTGTGTAACAGAATATCTCTCTCTCTGATCTCATACCGGAAATGTAATTATCCTGCTTTAGTCACATAAATAAGTAATGAAATAAATGTATGGGATTTCAACCTTACCACTGTGAAAATAGATCCTCTAAATTATTTCTTCCATTTGCAGATATTTGCAAATCTGGATCCCTCCCTTCCAATGTAGAGAAGAGGTTACAGTTGGAATGGCCCTTCCAGGAAAAATTGCTGCTCAGAGAACAGTATCAGAAAAAGTTCAAGAACAGCACTTACTCAAGTAAGAGATGAAAGGCACCTGCAGGTGTCCCAGCCCCCAAATACATGGATAGCTTGAACTTGGGCTTGAACCACGTAAGCCCTATAGCAGTTGTGTTAATAGTTAATGGGAAATCTTGAACCCAAAACTTCTGGGTTTTTTTCTCATTTCTTCACCTGACTTTGCCTACTAGCCATGAAGTGAAATCTAGAAATCACTCATGAGCTAATAATGACCTTTACTGCTCTGAAGAACTAGGAAGTCAAGGAAGACACAGATACATTCCTTGTGTAAAAGTGAAGTACAAAAGTATGAAGAGTAAATAATGGGGGCGCTTGACTAGTTCAGTCAGTAGAGCCTACGACTCTTGATCTCGGGGTTGAGGGTTCGAGCCCCATGCTAGGTGTACAGATTACTTAAAAATAAAAATAAATCTTTAGGGGAAAAAAAAGAGCAAGATGTGAAAACCATTCACACCTTGTCATCCATTCCATCTCTCCTCCCAGAAGCAACCCCTAAATTACGAGTTGGTGTACCATTAGGCAGTGGAAGCCTGAGTCATGCCAGACAGTGTTGGTCATCAAGCAGCTCTCTCTTTTTCTTTTCTCTGTGGCTTTGCAGACCTAGAACTAGCTCGACGAACCAGGAATTTATTTCCATTCACTGAAACAGTTATCCAGTCTTCAAAATGGGAAGATGTTGTCATGCAGGGCTTTAAATCAACTGAAACAAGCTGCCCTTATTTAACTATGAAAATATTTTTATCTGAAAGTTGATGTTTTAGACCCAACTAAGGGATGATGTTGCCCCGGATCTCAGTTAAGGGAATAACCTGCTCAGATACTCTACAACTGTCTTTTGATTTTTGAAAAATAAATTATCTTGTAGTTAATTTGGGTCACTCGGCATTTCTAAGAGAACATTACTGGAAGAAGATCATTTATCTTTGAAAGATTTTGCTGGATATTATCTGGATGTCAATGTATCCAATGGATTTTTATTTTTATATTTTTTATTTCTAAGGTACAGAAAAGATATGACACATAAGAAATCAGAGAATAGTTCACATGTTAATAGATAAGGCAGTCCTCTAAATTATTTATTGCATTTTAAAGGGGGTAGGGGAACAACTCTGACACTTTAATAACATGATCTATGGTTGAATGGAATTTGACATAACACAGGGCCATCTCAATCCCACGAAGGGAATGACAAGAGTACAAGAGACCCATAGCAGTAAGGTCTCACCTATAATAAATCAATATGATATAGGTCTGCTAAGAGAAGACTCCATGGTATTAGGTAATCTATTGATTTCTACTTTATTTTGCATCATGGTAAACATTATACCAGTTTATACCAGTTTCCTACCTCACACAATCTTTCTGGAATCAAGATGGTAGGTTTCCACCATCTTTCCCTGCCTCTGGGACTAGGACCTTCATAGTTCCTACACCAGAAGAAAGTTCCTTCACTATGTAACTAGGTCATTATAACTGCAGCCACCCTCTTGGCTAAAATATTTAACAAACACGGATAGTTTATTTGCATCTGGAAACATTTGACTCCTGGTTTGAAATTCTTTGTTTTAACATACATGTCTTAGAAACATATAGATAGGAATGCACTGTGTTTAGTCTGGGCACCAACTCATTATAGTAGGAAGTATCTCAGAAGCCTATAGGTGTTTCCACACATTGTTCTGCACTGACGGCTGAGGTTGGTGATGCCTGAGGAACTTGGGCTGGCATTGTCCAAGGGAAGAGATAGCAAAAGTCTATGGTGGCAAGGACAGTCATTGTCCTTTAATGTGTCTATCATGGCACTGACTAATTAGTCAGTGGCCTACACCCTTAAAACGGGTGTCCTAGAAGATACAGGCAAGTTTTCCAATTACAGGACCCATTGGATGGTGGGTTTCACTTAAGTAGAAGATGACAAAAACATTTGTCACGAGACTACAAACTGTAAGCCTGTTTAGGCAGGAAGAGGAAGCAATGTTACAGATGTAATTCTGGGTGTGACTGCAAAAAGAACTTCCTTATTCAAATAGTTCAACTTAATGAGCTAATTCTTTGCTCTCCGTCTTCTCCACCGCTCTTCCTCATCACCTGAGTCCTCCCCCTCCATCACCCAGTCCCACACTGGAAATGGACACCCTTATGTAAACAGACATGGCATAAAGCCAGAGAAAGAATGCCAATTCTAGTGTGTCATTTAGATTATCCTGTCCTGGGGATCTTTCCACCCTCTCGTAGAATAAGGGTAATGATTGGGAAATGGAAATTTAGCTGAGAGTTTTTTCTTTCTTTCTTTCTTTTTAAAGATTTTATTTATTTATTCGACAAAGAGAGACACAGTGAGAGAGGGAACACAAGCAGGGGGAGAGGGAGAGGGAGAAGCAGGCGCAGGCTTCCCGCCGAGCAGGGAGCCAGATGCAGGTCTCAATCCCAGGACCCTGGGATCATGATCCGAGCCAAAGGCAGACGCTTAATGACTGAGCCACCCAGGCGCCCCTTTCTTTTGTTTTCTTTTTAATTTTATTTATTTGTCAGAGAGAGGGAGAGAGCAAGCACCAGCAGGGGGAGCGACAGGCAGGGGGAGAAGCAGGGTCCCCACTGAGCAAGGGCCTGATGCGGGACTCGATCTCAGGACCCTGAGATCATGACCTGAACCGAAAGCAGACGCTTAACCGACTGAGCCACCCAGGCGCCCCTTAGCTGTGAATTTTCTTATTGTTCTTATTTTGAGGACAGAGTAGGCTGACTGGGTGGTTGTTTTTTTTTTAAGAGTAGATTCTAACTCAGTAATATACAACCCTTATTCTAGGAGATGTTACTATTACGTTGTAGGAAGCATATAATAGAATTTTAAGCTATATAAATTCCAAGTGCATTTGGAAAAATGAAACAGACAGAATCCAGTATGAGTTGAATAAATACTCTGAAATGCAAGCATTCTAGATTTTTTTGAAAATGCCATTGAGGGATGAGGTGGTGGCAGTGCCTAATATCTATAAAGGCTTTTTATGGTTTACAAAGGGTTTTCACATATGTCATTTCAACCTCGGTTTTGTGAGTAGGCACATGATGGTGCTAATTCCAGGATTGTGGATCCATAGCTGAGGCTCATGCCAGGTAAAGCGATCACCTCAATCATAACAGTCTGTAAGTGGGAGACTGGGTCCTGGAGCTCAGGTCTTAGGATTTCTGATCCAGGAAACTTTCTACAGTGTGATTTTGCAATATGAATGTCTAACATGGAGCTGTGACTAAGACAGTCGAGTCACCCCTTTACAACAGGCTCTAGTAATGGCACGGCCACCAAATAGCTATGCCATATTGGGCAAAGCACTTCATTTCCTTGGGTGTCAGTTTCCTCATGGAAAAATGACGGTGGAGGTTTGGGGAGAACTCAACAATCCCCAAGGCTCTGTGCCATCCCAAACTGTGGCTCAGGATCCAGTGGAATGCTGGGCAACAGGACTGGAGAGCTTTTCCACCCCTGTTGTCCGTAACTCCCTGATGATAGGCGGCAGCTCTGTGGCTGTGCGTGACACAGCAAATATCTAAAACACCTCAAACAACTCCCGAGAGGCGTTCCTGCCCCTCAGCCTTTACTGGCAATATTAAATTGAGGGTTTCTCTGCTATGCTCACCCAGTAATTCACTTAGAATTTTTTAAACTAGGAAAGTTCAAGAGTGAATTTCTATTCAACCACTCTAAATATACATGAAAATTACAGACATTATGCATTCGATACCTGACTTGAAGATGATATTCAAACTGACATTGTCGCTACTCTCAAGAAGTAATTCTGGACTAGCTGATGGTTAGAGAAGCTGAGTTCAAAAGTTCCCAAACCTTTATGGCACTTAAGTGACTCAGTAATTTTTTAAATTGTTTTGATTTTTTTTTTTAAGATTTTGTTTATTTATTTGACAGAGAGAGACAGCGGGAGAGGGAACACAAGCAGGGGGAGTGGGAGAGGGAGAAGCAGGCTTCCCGCTGAGCAGGGAGCCCGATGCGGGGCTCGATCCCAGGACCCTGGGACCGTGACCTGAGCTGAAGGCAGACGCTTAACGACTGAGCCACCCAGGAGCCCCAATTGTTTTCATTTTAAATTTATCTTACCTAGCCCCAAGTAAATACCTAAGAGTTTCAATTATTAAGTTGTTAAGTCCAAAAACCTACTGGTAACAGTTCTTGAGTCCAACAGAGTTGATATTTCCCTTGCAAATCTAAAGGATCCTGTAGTGCCTGTGTGAATAGGGTTGCTTGGTTGAGTTTGAATTTCAGATAAACTAATTTTTTTTACTGTATTTCTCACATATTGCATAGACATGAAGTAAAAAATTATTCCTCATTTATCTGAAGTCCAAACTTAACTAGTTGTCTATATTTTCCTTTGCTAAATCTGACAACAAGGTGGTGAATTTCTTGAGGCTTGCCAGGCTGTCTTGGCACCTAATTTGGAAACCACGGATCTATAGCCTTAGGCCAATTTTTTATTTTTTTTATTTTTATTTTTTAAAGATTTATTTATTTATTTTGAGAGAGTGAGAATAAGAGAGAGAGAGAGAGCACGAGAGGGAGGAGGGTCAGAGGGAGAAGCAGGCTCCTTGCGGAGCAGGGAGCCCGATGCGGGACTCGATCCTGGGACTCCAGGATCATGACCTGAGCCGAAGGCAGTCACTTAACCAACTGAGCCACACAGGCACCCTAGGCCAATTTTTTAATGCCAAATTTTACTTATTTAAAATTAACAAACCCTATACGTGAATTTTCCAAAAAATTGTTTTAAATAGAGAGAAATTTACCAAAAATATTCTGTGACTGAGTTTGTGAGCAGAGATGTTTCAATTATGAAGAGTGTGACTTATGTTGACTAATGACAGTGTGACTTGGGCATGAGTTCCCCTGAGGTCATTTGAACGAAACCAGAGTGCCAGACCAAAGCTTCTCGTTCTTTATGTGGTTCAGCGTGGAAAGCTGAATCAACAGCTGAAGTAAATGAAGTCCTATTAATTTTTAATTTTTTAATTTGCCTGTCTAATTTTTTTGTCTCGTATTTATAATTACAGTCACTCATAAGGACTGTAATTCCTTCAGTTTAACAACCAAAATAGTAATCCATTGGAGAACAAATATGGAGGCCTTCATTATGTGGTGCTGACCCAGCCATTAAATTGCAACATTTTTCTTTTAGAAAGCTCCGTGGATATGCTGTATACTTTTGCAAACTGCTCAGGACTGGACTTGATCTTTGGGCTAAATGCCTTACTACGAACAGCAGATTTGCAGTGGAACAGTTCTAATGCTCAGTTGCTGCTGGACTATTGCTCTTCCAAGAATTATAACATTTCTTGGGAACTAGGCAATGGTAAGTGCCCCTGGGACATTTCATTAGTAAGGAGATTCCCCTTTGGCATTAGTTGTAACTATTTATGACATTCTTTTTAATATTAGCAAATATACTTTTGGCTCAGCATACTTGTACCAGCGCTCAACAATGCAACTTTTGGAATTGCTTATGGCAGAACACTCCTTTATGTATCCTAGGACCTACTGTGAATCCTAGTTTATGTTACACTTGAGCTGAAGACAACTGGTTGGACCCAGAAACTTCCACAACTGGTTGGACCCAGAAACTTCCACAGCTCCTGGGCTCACTTGACATTTTCAGGATTGCTTAAACCTATTATGGTTGGCAGGCTGGACTCAGCAACACTGGGAAGCAGGCACTTTTGCTTTTGCCCTTTCATGTCTTTCTCTGTTTCTCAACTTGTCAGTTAATTTCAGCAACTCCATCCCCCAACCATCATGATACGCTCAAGCAAGAAGTTCCTAGTGTAGAGTACTACCCAGGTCAAGCTCCTGATGATTTCCTTCTTCACTTTTTGGCAAAGAACTTGTAAATTCTAACTAAAGTACTAATGATTAGCCACATTCATTTAAACATATTATAGAGCTTTTTCCACACATGAGCCAATGGAACTGAAACTAAAATGGGAAATGAGATGTAGTAATATGATGGGTACGTACTACATTTCAGGCACTGTTCTGAGCATTCAATAAGTATTATTTTCTTTTTATAACCACGCTGGGGCAGATACAATTATGACCTTCATTCTAAGGAAGACAAAAGAGGCACAAAGAGGTTAGTTAAATAGCTGTGTGATCCGGGCTACCAAGTGGAGGACTTGGGATTTGAACCCAGGTAGTCTGGCTCCAGAGCAAGGTCCCTGCTTTCTTGGGAGTTCCATTCTAGAGGAAGGGAGCCAGACCGACAAGAAAGCAAGCAAAGAAATAAGATACATGTCTATAGTGCCATGTATTGCAGTAATGTCTAGAGGCAGATTTTGGGATGAGGTTGCTAAGGGTGACTGGCAAGTGAAGCACAGAACACAATATAGGGGCAGAGGGAACCATATCTTGGCTAGATGCTGAACAACTTTAATGGCAACCACATGAGTAATGGATCATCTGAACCCGTCCTTACCCATCTCTATATATCCCTCCCTCCCTACTTTTCTACTGTACCCATCCCCAATTCCTTCTGCTCTTCAGAGTAACATAACAGAGCCATGCCATCCTGTTTCCCTCCTCCTTGGGCCCCCTTTTGCAAGGAAAATGTCTGCTTTCCAGAAAGAAGGAGAAGGGAGCGAGGGAGAGCCTGGGCAAGGTGTTTGGGGAAGTAGACTGAACACTTCTGTGCCTCCCTCCCATGTCTTCAGCGTGGCTACTTCCAGGCTCACCTGCACGGATAATTTGTGAATAAACAGTCTCAATAAGGCTTTTAATGGCATTGTAGAAATCGGTTTTTCAGTGTCTTCCCCTCCCACCCAAACTTTTTGTCCTTTTTAAGTAAATCAGTTTATTAAATACTGGATATAGACTATTCCTCAAATATCCATTAGTTTAATACCCCCATTATTAACTTCAAATCATTGTAATACCCCCTCACACTTTAGTTATGCCATTTACATTTCTGTTTAACTGAAATATCTTCTTCATAATGAGGGCTTTTCCTTTTCTTGCCTTTGAATGCTAAGTTTTTGTAACCGGGAAATGTTTTCTTGCTTTTATATGCTGCTTTTAAGTTTGCTTTCAAATACAAAATTTCTAGGTACGTGACTACCTTCAGAACTGCTGTCTTTCAGAACCTAACAGTTTCCGCAAGAAGGCTGGTATTTTCATCGATGGATTGCAGTTAGGAGAAGATTTTGTCAAGTTGCATAAACTTCTAGGAAAAACCACTTTCAAAACTGCGAATCTCTATGGTCCTGATGTTGGCCAGCCTCGAGGAAAGACTCTCAAGATACTGAGAAGGTAGGAACTAGAAAAAGCAGAACCACTTTTCTTAAAAAGAATATTTCTCTCTGGTGGAGACTTCTCAATAGTCCACCTGTTATTAAACCATTTGCTACCTAAGCAGATGTTTTACCAAAAGAGGAAATGCTGACTGGCTCAGAATACCAAGGATCTGGGGCCAATGGAACCTACAATATAATTTATATCAGAATTAGGAAGTTTGTATTTGCCTGATGCTAAAGCAGTAACCAGCCCATTTCTAGGCAATAAAACTCCTGTGCATATATTGTGCATATATATTGTGCATATGAGGATTAAGTAAAGATCATAATAGATTTTTCTTTTCTAGTTTCCTGAAGGCTGGGGGTGAAGTGATTGATTCGGTTACATGGCACCAGTAAGTATGTCTCCTTACTCTTAGTACTAAGAAACTAATGCTAGTTTTACTTACTACTTAGCTTTCAAAAAACTATTTCCATTTAACTACTAATTTACATAGTTCAAATAAGAAACAAATAGTATCTCAAGCAGCAGTGTACTAGACTTTTAATATTAATAAAACAAACATTTAAACTTTATTTCAAATACTGTGGTAGTTTCTATAAGATCAAGGCACACTATCATTTAAATCGTGGAGCAGATAAGTAGCTAAAATCAATATGCTTGCCAAAGACCAGGTAACCTCTAAGTACCTGCACTTCTGACTATGTCTTTTCAAGACAGAATAACTGAGGGGCGCCTGGGTGGCTCAGTCGGTTAAGCGTCTGCCTTCGGCTCAGGTCATGATCCCGGGGTCCTGGGATCGAGTCCCACAGGCTTGAGTCCCATGGCCGGCTCTCTGCTCAGCAGGGAGCCTGCTCCTCCCTCTGCCTGCCGCTCCCCCTGCTTGTGCTCTCTCTCTCTGTCAAATAAATAAATAAAATCTTTAAAAAAGAAGACAGAATAACTGATCCTCTTCCATCTTTGTCTCTTCTTGCTAAAACTTCTGCCTTTTTTTTTTTTTTAATATAACAGAGGGGTGGGAAGAGGTAGAAAGGAGAGCAAGGTAGCCAATTAACTTAAAAGCACAAAGCACAGTTCGCTATTTTTTTTCTGAATATTTTCTGAATAATTTAGCTACTACTTGAATGGACGAATTGCTACCAAAGAAGATTTCCTAAACCCTGATGTGTTGGACACTTTTACTTCATCTGTGCAAAAAATTTTTCAGGTAATAGTCTTTTTTTTTTTCTAATGGAGAGAGGTCCCCTTTCTTTCTAGGGGATATCGTCCAAGACCCTCAGTGGATGCTTGGAACCACAGATAATATCAAACCCTATATATATACTTTTTCCTATACATATATTCCTATGATAAAGTTTAATTTATAAATTAGGCACAGAAAGAGATTAACAATGATAGTAATAAAATAGAACAATTACAACAATGTACTATCATAAAAGTTAGGTGAATGTGGTCTTTCTCTCAAAATACCTTATTGGACTGCACTCACTCTTCTTGTGATGATGTGAGATGGTAAAATGCATATGTGACCAGATGAAGTGAGGGGAATGACATATGTGTTGTGACATGGCATTAGGCTACTGGTGACCTAATGAAGATAGGTCAGAAGGAGGATCATCTGCTTCTAGACCACAGTTGACCGCAGGTAACTGATACTGCAGAAGGCAAAACCATGGATAAGGAGGGACTTTTGTAAATCCAGAGTTTTTATTTTTGCAGTCTAGCTAATCTATTAAATTCTATACGTCTATACATTTACATGTTTTTCTTTAGATAACAGGCACTTACTCACTTCAGTCCCCCTCAGCATCAGGTCTTATCCATGTGTATCGATTAAAAATTAAAAATTCTTCCAATAGCCTTTTGGTAGCATTAACTCTCCAAGACCATAGGAAGGGGATGACTTAAATTCCTTCCACACTTAGAATTCCAATAAAAGTTAATTGCCCAAGACCTAAATGACCACAAACATATTTTGTAACTATATTGGACAAATCGGTCTGGGAATACAAGGTTTTGAATGTCATTAATCTTCAACACCATAGCTGGTCAGCTTGTTTGCAAATATAATGGGGACTCTCCTGTTGCATAGGTTGTCGAGGAGACCAGACCCCACAAGAAGGTTTGGTTAGGAGAAACGAGCTCTGCGTTTGGGGGTGGAGCACCCTTGCTGTCCAACACCTTTGCGGCTGGCTTTATGTGAGTGAAGCAGCACCGCCTTGGGGATCAGGCTGCAACATTCTCCCGTCCTTTTATTAAACAGCTTCTATTGAGACAGTTCATCAGCCAAAAAGCTGATCAAAGATGGTTTCTATGGCTGAGACCCAAAATGCATGCCAGATTTTGCAAGAACATGTTTTACTAAAGTTTGTTGGACATCTTTAATGAGTGTCCCAAATTAATCACTGTATGAATGAATTGCTTTAGAAGTGCTGTTCCTTAATTTTGGCCCATAAATATGCCAAGCATTACTTCTTCTGAAAGAGATCGTAAATGAGTGCATCTAGAGGTTTGAGTCTGAGAAGGATCCTTAGTACATAAAGCTCTATTCATAGATTCCCAAGGAGTTTAGAGTGTGAGGTCACACCAGAGGAGCTACCAATGAGTTTAAAGACTTACTAAATCACCCTCGTCATCCAGCCACCACAAACTTGATTGCTTTAAGCAACTGGTTTACTTACATTCCATAACTCCGTTAACACTCTTAATCTATAGTTCTATATCCTCACACTGGGACTTACTCTCTTTCCCCTCCTACCCTCATTCTTGTAAATCCAGAATAAAGAACAAATCCTTTTTGCTCATGGGGGCATGAGGAGGAGAGTTAAGAATAAAGATGTTTATCTTGCCATTAGCCAAAGATGGACGGGGTGCAGGGAGATAGCCATGAAAGTCGAGGTGTGATTCTACTTACTTCACATTTTACTACTGATGACTACAAGCTGCCTTTTCTTCTTCACCCTTTTCTTCCTCACATGGGCCTGGGGGTGGGGAGGTGGGGAAGGTATCCAGCAAGATGGAGAGTGATTGCCTGTAGGGTGCAAATTTGTCTACTCTTCTCTGTAGAAGTTTTCTTACCCTGAAAGGAACTCCTACGGCATATTAATAGTATTCTATGATTTATTATCATGCTCAAGTGTGGGAACATGTGAAGGGAAGGATAGTCCTTCCCTTCATTTGATTGGCTTATTTATAATTAATACCACTTTTCTGGTTTCCTGTCAATTCCTCCCACATAGATGAATCAATCAGAATAGTGTGTAATTAGAATTGAGTTTTTTTGTTTTCCAAACCTGAAGAGAGCTGGGCCTCACTCTATTCCAGGTGGCTGGATAAATTGGGCCTGTCAGCCAGAATGGGCATAGAAGTGGTGATGAGGCAAGTGCTCTTCGGAGCCGGAAACTACCACTTAGTGGATGAAAACTTCAAACCTCTACCTGTAAGTGATCATTATTTTCCCATTGCTGTGAGGAGACTGGAGTATACTGAGTGCCCCTTGTACCAACATCCTATGAAGAATCAATCCTCTCAGGAAATTCAGTACTTTCAGTAGGTAGCCAATCCATGGAATGATGAATTGGAAGAAACCTTAGAGACCATCCATTTTAATACTTTTGTGTCCCAGGAGAAGAAATTGAGAAGCAGAATAATGTTTTTAATGTGGGCCACTTGGAACATAGTATGGGGTTTTTATATTTCATTCAATTTTATTTTATTAAAGATTTTATTTATTTATTTGAGAGGGAGTGAGCATGGGGTTGGGGGAGGGAAGAGCAGAGAGAGAGGGAGAGAGAGAATCTTAGGCAGTCTGCACGCTGAGCGAGGAGCTGAGGCAGGGCTCATTCTCACGACCCTGAGATCATGACCCGAGCTGAAATCAAGAGTCAGAAGCCCAACTGAATGAGTCACCCAAGCACCCCTACAGGTCTTTTCTTATTGGATTTGCATAACCATCCTGGAAGCTGGCAAGGCAGTGTCTTTGATCCATTTTTCAGATGAGGATGTTCAAACGGAGACAAGGTTGGGTAAGGGAAGTCACACAGCTGTCCCATGTTACTCTAGAATCCCATACAAATCCCGGCTCCGAGTCCTGAATGCTTTCCACTCTAACAGTCACCAAACCACACTGAAGTTAGATCTCCTTTATAAATGCTTAACTGATTCTATTCTTCTCTCCAGTGAAAAATTTGAATGTAAGCAGAGAAACAAAATGTCTGTTTGCCCTGTTGAGTCTACATTTCCTCAGCTGAAGAGGGAAGGATTGGGGTATACACTGAGTAGGGCTCTTTGAAAAAAAAAAAACTTTTTATTATGGAAATTTCAAAGTAGAGAGAAAAGCATATAAATCCCCAATTCTGTTTACTCTCTAGTCCTCCCCACTCCTCACCTCCCACCCACTGGATTACTTTCAGGCAAATCTCAGATGTATCACCGTATCACCTGACTAAATAAGTCAGGATGTATCTCCTTTATACAAACACAAAATATTATTATACTATAAAATACTAACAATAATTCCTCTGTATCATCAAATGTTGAGTCAGTGGGTGTTTCACATTTTCCTTATTGTCTCAAATGTTTTTAATAGTTGGCTTGTTCACATCAGAATACAAACAAGATCCATATATTGCATTTGGATGAAATATCTCTTAAGTCTATTAATCTTGAAGTTTCCCCTCCCGCCCCCTTTTTGTCCCGTGGAATTTATTAATTAAAGAAAGCAGGTAATTTGTTCTATAGTGTTTCCCATGTTCTGGATTTTGCTAAATTAATTCCTGTGCTATCCTTTAGCTTGTTCCTCTGTTTCTTGTAAACTGGCAGTTAGACCTAGAAGCTTGAGCTTATTCAGATTTTTGGTTTTTGTTTTGTTTTGCAATAATTCTTTGTAGGAGATGTCACATGCTTCCAACAAGAGGCACATAATGTCTGGTTGTCTCTCTCTCTCTCTCCCTCTTTCTCTCTCTCTTTTTTTTTTTTACCTTGATAGCTAGTAATGACCATTGCCTAATCCATTACCTTATTCAGGAAGGGGGGTTATAAGGTTCTAAAATAAATTATTTTAGGGGCACCTGGCTGACTCAGTTGGTGGAGTGGGCGACTCTCGATCTCGTGGTTGTGGGTTTGAGCCCCCTGTTGAGTGTAGAGATTACTTAAAAATTTTTTAAAATCTTAAAAAAAAGAAATTATTTTAATCTCTTAAACAGGTAGAAGTTTTATTGTAAGACTTGCTTTTGTGTGTGTGTGAGTGTGTACATGTGCATATCTAAAAGTTCTGCTTTGAGCTTTGCTTTGAATTCTTGGATGATAGACAATAAAGAATATTTAAACTCTCTCAACAATGAATTACATTCTTGAGATATATCTCCTAGTGGTCACGGCCCTCTGAATTGTGCAAATATAGTCCTCCAATAATAAAAAGCAGCAAACAAGAAATTGCTCTCAGATTCATGGTGGGAACATGGATCAAAAGATGTAGTCCATTTAAATATTCTAGACTAACAGTCACTGTCTTTGTAGGATTGATTATTTGCTCTCGCTGTTTTTGTTAAAGAAATAAGTAAAGATCTATTTTTGGGGACTCCTGGGTGGCTCAGTTGGTTAAATGTCTGCTTTCGGCTCCGGTCATGATCCCAGGGTCCTGAGATCGAGTCCTGCATCGGGCTCCCTGCTCAGTGGGGAGTCTGCTTCTCCCTCTGCCTGCCGCTCCCCCTGCTTGTGCTTTCTACCCCTCTTTCTCTGACAAATAAATAAATAAAATCTTAAAAAAAAAGATCTATTTTTGTTCCTTCTCTCCCCAACCACCACAACTAGGATTATTGGCTATCTCTTCTGTTCAAGAAATTGGTGGGCACCAATGTGTTTATGGCAAGTGTGAAAGGTCCAGACAGAAGTAAACTTCGAGTATACCTTCATTGTACCAACGTCAACCAGTAAGTGTGTAACACACCCTTTACCAGTCAACAAGTTTTAATCAGTAATATGCTCTTCCTGATAGGATGGTACTAAAATAATAATTCTAGTCAAAATAAAGACAATCATGATTTCTGGTAAGTGGGAACTCTTGAAATACTGAGGACCCACTAGGAAGCAGGAGAATGGTTTGGATGGAAATTCTGAAAAGTGTCCATAGATTTAATTTTCTTATTTGTTTTTGTTTTTTCATAAGGCTAGGAAAAGCTCCTGTTTACATGGTTTATGATTTGAATTCCTAGGAACCCACAAAATTCCCTTTTATTATTTAACCTTCCTATGTTTGAACATGGTTGGGCTGACCAGCTTCCTAGCAGCTCAGCCTGACAAAGCAGCAAAAATCTCAGAATGCTCTCACCCAGAAAATGGTAGTGTGAGGAGCAATAGTTTCAATCATTTTTTCAAATAGGACCACATCAGCTGTCTACTGTAATCATGAAAGGAGGATAAAAAGAAGGTCCAGCATCATTACACATACTAATACTTAGTATCCATGATTATGTTTGTAATTGAGTTTTTAATTGCTTACATTAGATAAATATTTTTATGGAGTTAATCTATTTGCTTTTAGCCCAAGGTATAAAGAAGGAGATTTAACTTTGTACGCCTTAAACCTCCATAACGTCACCAAACGCCTGCAGTTGCCCTATCATCTATTTGACAAACAAGTGGACAAATACCTCATAAAACCTTTAGGGCCTGATGGATTACTTTCCAAGTGAGTAATTTTCCTTTTTTGTTTCAAACTTTCGCCAAATTGATTGGTATTTATCAGAAAAGAGAGTGTTGCTAGAGAGCAAAAAAAAAAAAAAAAAGTCAACTATTTCAAGTTCTAACAATTCCTAATATTTATATATGAATATTTATCAATACAGGTAAAACTCACCCAGAGTCCAAAGCAGAAGGATATGAACACAAGTTAGCAGTTATTGTAGGGAATAGTTTGCATTTCAAAACAATTTGTTATGTCAAGATGCCCTCAAGGCATGTAGATTATTTGCTCTACAAAAACTTATAATTCTTGGTAACACAGTCACTGAAGCGAACATACCTATGTATAATTGGTATTAAGGGCGTGGGGGTGGTTGTTCCTATTATACCATGTGAGCTGAGCGTGATTCTCTCACAGTGTTAGTGTTTTCATTTGGTTAGAGTAAGAAAAAAAAATATGTCCAGAAGTGTGGCTTTTAGGTGGGTTATTTGAAGCTGGTTGTAACACATTTTAGTTTTAAAAGTCAGTCATTGGATATGTCTTATAAAAGACTGTATTCAGCAGAACACCCAAAATGACCATGAGCCTTGAAGAGTCAGGCACACAAACACTGTAAGATTCTGTCCAATGTGTGTTGGAAGGAGCTCTTTTCATCATGACTATTCTCACACTGGAGCATAAAAAATTAAGAGTTTACAAAATTCTCACCATCTCCTCCCATCTTTGCAAATACTATATGAGTGATGTTTTCAGTGATAATTAGCATCAGAACCTGAAAAGGGACAGTGAGCTTGCTTTCTTCCGAAGACCTATATTCCATAGACAAACATCATTAACATTGGGTACCATTCCTTATTTTTTCCCTATGCTTTATTTTACTACATCTGTGACCATACAACCTCTAATGTGAAAGAGGGGACACCCACAAATGTTCTTCCATACACAGCCTGTGTAGACATTTTTAATGGGCTGCATGTTTTATAAAATACCGTGATTTACTTACCCATTTTCCTGCTGTTTAAACCTTTTTTCCTCCCCTAATGTAAATAGTGCATATTTGGTTAACAGATACTTTTTTTCTATTTGGGTTCTGACTTTGAAATGGATATTTTTGTGTCCGATGCTGATATTTGTGTCTGATGCTGACAAGGGAAAAGCTTTTCTGAAGTCACAGAATAATAGTTGTAGAGTTGGAAGAGTGTTAGGAGATACTTTAGTCCAACCTTAGATGGGGAGTTTAGGCCATTCAGCTCTGCCTGATTCCTCCTGGGTTGGATGTGGCCGCTCTCCCAGCAGCCGTCCTCTCTGGCAAGGGGAACGTCTCTCTCTGCCTTTCATCTGCTGTTTTTAGTTCTGTGCTCGACAGCAGAAGTCAGAAACTATGCCTCATGCCTGTGCACAAGTGGGTTTAGAGGGCTTTTTTTCCCTCTTTTTTCTGGTAGGGGAGATGGTCATGTACTCTGTGTTAATTTTTACTTTTACTAAGTTGTCAACATTTAAAAATTGATAATTATGAAAAGATCTGGATTTCTAGCTTTTCTTTAAAAGCAGACAATCTGGGGGCACCTGGGTGGCTCAGTCAGTTAAGCATCTGACTCTTGGTTTTGGCTCAGGTTGTGATCTCAGGGTCATGAGATGGAGCCCCGCATCAGGCTCCACGCTCAGCAGGGAGTCTGCTTGGGATTCTCTCTTTTCCTCTCCCTCTATCCCTCCCCCACCACCTCTCTTTCTAAAATAAATAAATAAATCTTTAAAAAATTTTTTGTAAATAGATATTCTGGGAACTGTGGGCTTGTTTTCCCAAGTAGGTGGAGTTGAATTGGGGTTGTTTACTTTAGACAGGTTCTCCTTAATCCTTCTGTGACCCTGTTATCTCTGTGACCCTGTCCTACTGCACAGGCTCTTGTGGCCACTTGAGTTTGCTACCGTTAATGTGGAACAATGCCAAATACCTAATTTTCTCCAGAATAACTCCAATGTCTGCAGGACAGTTAGATGGTTCTCTCCAGGCTTAATATGCCCAATTTCTTCAATGATTCTTCTCTTTCCTGTATTTATCAGACCCCATTGCATTCTGATCACACATTTTGTGCTTAATAATGGAAAACTGGTGAAATTGTGAATTGTGTAATGTTTTATTACCCTAAATTCTCTTTGATGAGTATACATCACTTATGCTTTTCTCTCTTTTAAAATGTTGCAAAAAATAAAATAAGACGTTGCAAAAGTATCCCAGAGAAGTTTGATGAATGTTCAGTCTGCACACTTATTCATTCTAATGACAATGATCATCTTTAAAAAAAAAAAAATCACTTTTTAGTTGAACAACTTGTATGGTGTCTACAGAAGGTCCGGTGTAGTAAGCGTTTAGTAAATATTTGAGGGAATATATTTTTAACTTAAAAGCAGTATTTTATATTTATCTTAGATAAATTTTGCCCAGCATCCATAATTCGGATTCCTCTTGCTTGCTAATTCCTTTCAGCTCTGTTTCATCTGAAACTTGACAAGCATGTCTTCTATTTCTTGTCATCATGTTACTGACATCAAAATATGAAATAAGATACTACCCTCGAATAAAACCTTACCCTGATTTACCCAGCCCAATGCAGAAATAATCCACATGCTTTAAGCTTATTCTCAGTGTATTGATAGCATCCTTTAGCTATTTTTATAGTTGATTAAACAGTGTAGCCAGAAGGTCTTGGGTATTATCTTGCCTATATTTCATCATCTGAACCCACAGCACTGTTTATTTACAGTGATGAGATTTCCCTTTAAGCTCTGTGGCCTCTCCTAAAAGCATTTCTGAAACTTTTTTACGTACCCTTGAAAAAATGGGTCTCAAATTCATGTAGAACAGCTCTTTTTTTTTTTTAATTTTATTTATTTATTTGAGAGAGAATGAGAGAGGGGAGTCAGAGGAAGGCGCAGACTCCCCGCTCAGCGGGAGTCTGATGCGGGACTCGATGCGGGACTCGATGCGGGACTCGATGCGGGACTCGATGCGGGACTCGATGCGGGACTCGATCCGAAGGCAGTCGCTTAACCAACTGAGCCACCCAGGCTCCCCATGTAGAATAGCTCTTAAGACTGGCAGTTGGAGGTATTTTCTTTTTTTTTTTTTT